TATGGCATGAGTAGATACTCTTAATAATACTCTTAATAAGATTCTTATTAATACTAACCAATATTTTAAAATTAGTACTTTTATTCATGCACAATAATTAAATTGTTTAATTAAAACATAAAAAAATTTTGTCAGTCGATTTATTCTATAGCTTCATCTATATATCGCAGAATGTATAATTATATATCAATGAAAGCACCAATTAGCTATTAGTGGTTATTACAATAGCAGTGATAGAAACATATTTATATAATATAAAAACTGTTTCTGTAATAAAAACAAAGCGTAAACAAGCCATTAAAGATTTTTTCAAAAATCTTATAATTATATACAAAAAAGTTGCAGAAGAAATTGTCTTTGGTATGGCATTCACGTAGCGTCATTTTAGTTCATTACGAATAATTAAGTAATTTCGTTGAAAACAGACGCCATACTCCAATGGAAGAGGCGAATGTGGAGCTGATACACGCTCCACGCCAGGCGCATCCTGCGATTGAAGAAGAAACCAATTAAAGCGATTCGGGTGTACGCACCAAACGGAGTGACAACTGCGAAAGCAATAACAACATTTTATCTATAAAGCTTAACATTGAGAGGAAGACACTAAACGCTAAAAAAATATTATAGAAGAAAGGACAAAAATTTCTTTTCCATTCAATTTTTTCGAAAAGCAAGCATAAAACTTTAATCAGCTTTTGGTACGCTCCGTCAATTTTTAATTAGGCAACAAATTTAGCAGAGTTTACAAAATGTAGACATTAAAGCTGCCATTAAAACTGCCCTACTAGTTACTGGTGTGTTTTATTTATATACAATATATATTTTAATATAAAATTTACTACAAATTGGAAATACTTTTCTTAAGAGTTTAGACATTTAATTCGAAATTTTTTTCCGTTAACGTCTATTGTTCACAAAAACAAAAAGGACTGTAAAGCATGACCAATGGATTAACTTTTATTTATATTCGAACTTACAGTGTGAGATTCACGAGTATAAGAACTTAGTAATGGATGCGACAACATATTTTACTATAATACCACCACGTACTGACCGTCTGGCGTATAATTACGTCATACACCCTGAGTTATTCTTAGTTGGAAGCAACAAAGTTGAGAATTAAAATAGGATCCACTATGCCATACTGTGACAAAGGAAAATATACAAATTACATAGAAATTATTTTTTATTTTGGCGGCGCTTTCCTACTAGACTAGAAAGTGTCTGCGACTTCCTAAGCTCATTTACACCCTTTTTTTTAAGGCATACTTACGCGTTTGTTGTATTGTTTCCGGGGAAAAGTGATGTTCGTCTGCGTCTATTTTAATAAAAACAGCTACACGTCCGTGCACGAGACTCGCATTGATAAAAGTAAATTTCATAGTGAATACATCACACTCAATTTATATATAAGCAAGTAGTACATACAAGACACAGACTTTATACAGCCGGCTTAAATTGCGTTGCTCTGAGGAAGGGTCACCTCAAATAAACAAGTTGATAAGCTATTTAGTCCTATTATATCGTTAATATAGGACATTTTCAGCAGTGTTATTGTTGTTCTAAGTGTGATTGTTCTATTGTCCGACTGAGCTTTTTTTTATTATATGCTCCTTCCACATCTAACACAACGAATGACATTTAACAGCAGAAGAAGCTAAAACATTAAATGTCAAATGATACATTTTAGGCATTCCTAAAAGGATTTCCTTGGGGAATAATGTGCACAAGAAGGAGAAGCTTGTCAAATGAACAGTAATTAGGAGGGATGTCTTTGACTTCAACTTATCCGCTGTTGAATTACTTAGTTTAGTCCAGTTTTGTTTTGTTTATTTCTGATTTTGCTTTAATAATAAACAGATGGAAAGCAAATTTAGTAAAATGTTTATAAAATTTTACAATTCTTTAAAAAAAACAAACAAGTACTTTATTTTAATAATCCTATGAACGAAATGACAATACTATAAAAGAAAATAGTTCTGCTAGTTTATACCATGGTTAGTTGCAGTAACTAAGTCAACAGATGTCTGGGTTACATTGTTGGTAACGCTTGTTGCAAATGATAAATTAAAACCTGATCTAGAAAGAGATAATATGCTGAAAGTATAAGTGGATCAGATACACTCTTCGTAAAAACCCTGACGAAATAGTGCACTCAGCCTTACGGTCAGGGTTTGAAGGAACAAAAAAACAATAGAGGTCGGCACAAAATAAGTTGACGCAGATGCATCAACAAGAAGACCACAAAGTCTTTCAGCGAATAAAAACACATTGTTAGAACCAGTGATCTATCGAAATCTTTTGTAGATAGACTAAATTCTTAGTTACTTACTTACTTACTTATGTGGCCATAACAACCCGTTACCGAGTTTCGGCCTGACGCAGCATGTCTCCCCAGGCGCCTCTGCTGCGTGCGCGCCTTCTCCAGTCTCGTATATCAAGTCCAGTTAGTGCTCCCTCAACTTGATCACTCCACCGGAGACACGGTCTACCTTTACGTCTTCTTCCGCCAACTACTGCTTCAAACACCTTTTTCGCCGGAGCGTCTTCATCCATTCTCACGACATGACCAAGCCAGCGAAGCCGCTGGATGTTAATGCGCTGAATTACGTCAATGTCGTGATAAAGCTCGTACAGCTCGTGGTTCATTCTAATGCGGTAGTCGTCGCCAACTCGTAGAGGACCAAAGATCTTACGAAGAACTTTTCTCTCGAACACTCCCAGTGCTGCTTCATCATTCTGGGATAACGTCCATGCTTCTGCGCCATACAGAAGCACAGGGAGGATGAGCGACCTATAGAGCGTAAGTTTTGTTTGTCGAGAGAGAGCTCTACATACCAATTGCCTATTGAGCTCATAGTAGCACCTATTAGCAATGGTGATTCTTCGTCTGATCTCCAGACTGACATCATTTGTATTCGTTACAGCGGTGCCAAGGTAGATGAAATCCTTGACAGATTCGAAAGTATAGTCGCCAGCCACTAGCCCGGTGTCCGAGCGACGCACATTTCTACCAGTAGCCGACATATACTTCGTTTTTCCCTCATTCACCGCTAAACCCATTCTTGCAGATTCCTTTTCGATAGCAGCAAAAGCAGCTGTAACATCACGCTTGCTACGCCCAATGATGTCAATGTCGTCGGCGTAAGCAAGGAGCTGGACACATTTGTAGAATATTGTTCCATTACGATGAACACCTGCCCTGCGCATGATCACTTCCATGACGAAATTGAAGAGGTCACATGATAAGGGGTCACCTTGTCTGAAGCCTCGCACGGTATCAAAAGGTTCAGAGAGACTCGATCCTACCTTGACGGAGCTACGGGTATTACTCAGCGTCATTCTGCAAAGCCGAATTAATTTTGCAGGGATACCGAGCTCAGACATTGCGGCGTAAACGCGATCCCTAATGGGGCTATCGAAAGCTGCTTTATAATCGACAAAAAGGTGATGAGTATCGATGTTATGTTCGTGGGCTTTTTCCAGGATTTGTCGCAGTGTGAATATCTGATCAATGGTGGAGCGACCAGGTCGAAAGCCGCACTGATAAGGTCCAATCAGTGAGTTGGCATGTGGCTTCAACCTTTCACACAGTACAGTTGAAAGAACCTTGTACGCGACAGGTATCAGGCTAATCCCGCGATAGTTGGCGCAAATCGTCGGGTCACCTTTTTTCAAGACAGGACAAAGGCTACTGAGATTCCAATCGCTGGGCATACTTTCATCTAACCATATTCTGCAGATAAGCTGA